GTATAATAGTGTTGAACACTATCTTTGACCAAGAAATCTGGCTTCACTTTATCGTGTTGAAATGCATAAACTTCAACCTTATTAACGCCAGCTTCCTCCGGACTAATTCCTGTTCCGTTCAGATAACAAGGAACTATGTTAATTTCATTAGGAACATCAAAAATTGCACTAGATTTTAACAAGCCTGTAGCTTCATTAACATCATTAATGAAGGCGGCATGGTATATTTCCGTTCGGATTCCCAATCGTTTCATAGCTGCTGTAATATCGACACTTCCCATGACATATGTAGTACTATTAATTTGGTAAGGATTAGGTCTACGCCACATGGCAACTAATCCAGCAAAATGAGGCGAAGTTACTGGTGTTTCGACAGACGCACTTTTCAAATCAACAAAAACTCTAATAACGTACGGTCCAACTAATTTACCCGCATCTATAATTAATTTTACAAAAAATCTGCGTCCATAATGTGGATCAGGTTTATAGAGTTTAAGAAGATATGCTTGTAATTCTCTTGGATCTTGACCTTTAAATTTCACTAATTCTGGATAAGTATATCCAAGTTTTTCTGCATCTCGAACAGTTGAAGGTTTCCAAAATTCGGTTTCTGATTTACGGAATGGCGTTAGGTTTGAATGCTCATTTACCACCGCATTTAGTTCTTCTGTATAAGTTCCGTTAATATTAACACTTTCCGTAACCCAACTATCAGGATATCTATATACATATAAATATATATATTTTTGTTATTTACATTATAAATAAAAATTATTTAAAATACTAACATTGCTTGCCAAAGTGCAAGTAAACGATCGATGGCGGTATGATGGAAAAAGAACAATGGATCAAATGCAGCTACATCTGGATAAAGAAACTGACCACCAGGACCACCGACTACGAAATGAAAGATATCATGGGTTGTTTCAATAGATGCAAAATGTGCATGTCCAATCACTATAGGACGCGGATGAGCTGGAAACATATTTGGCGTTTCTGTACCATTTGATCTTAAACCATGATTGCTAAATTGTAGGTAATTATTAATCTGAAGCATTTGATAAACTCCTGGTCTAAATACCGCAGGAACATAAAAAGAGATATTTTGATTCAACAAATCATATTGATCTTCATAGTTAGCGTTAGGATGTCTGACAGTATGATAACCGGCGGGTGTAAATGGAATATAGTTATAACTTGGTAATTCATAATTGGGTTTATCAGTTGGATTATAACCTTTTCCAAGGGGAAATGAAAGATCTACAGGCAATGTATAACTTTTTAACGGATTTTTGACTTTTTTCATGCCTTCTGGTGTATTTATTTCGAGTTCAGCTACTATGAATACATCCGGAATGCCTTTTATTGCCTTTTCATCAGCCCAATCCCAATAGGGATGGCGTAATTGATTTGCTGCTTCAACATACTTTTCTCTTTCGTTCTCAGGGTATTGTAAAGCAATTTTCTTTGCCTCATTAATTAATAGTGATTCTATCAATAGTACATAAGGTCGGTGCCAAGGTCCAAACAAAACATCTCCATGATGACAATATCCACCCCAACGACCTCTTGCCCAATCCGTCTCATTTTTATATTCGTGAGTACCAGTAACTCCATCATAGGGTATCCAAGGTTGTGAATGGATTCCAGCTACCTGGTAATATGATCGCATATCGGTGTAGGGACGATCATACATCGCTTGATAACTTTGAACAAACAATTCGAATTGTGAGCTGTATGTTTCATTATCGTAGCCAATGAAATCTTCAATTGGTAAACGCGGGTATATTTCTGAATGTGGTTCGACAATAACCGGACCAGATTCTGGCACACTCCTCATAAGAGAAGAATGATAAGTTGAAGAGTGACTTAATCCCATATTTTTTTCAATATTAGCTTTTTTTTCCTTACGATCACCTTTATAGGACTGTAAATCGATTCTAAAATAATCGTTTTAATCGTTAATCGTAGAATCGATTCTTCATTTCTGTATAATCGTTTTAATCGTTTACTATTAAATATTTAAATGTAAATTTTTGTAAAATTTTCGATAAATATTCTCTGTTTTCAGGTACATACAGTGTTCGAAATTTCAGACTCAAATACTGTTATTATGAGAACAATACAATAACTATAGGTGTTCACAAAATATTAAATTTTAATTTCTTAAATCCTTAACCAAATAAATCAGTTATTTGTTTTATGTTTGCAACAACAACAAAATAAACCTATATTAGAATATACATATTATAGATGAAAACACTTTTATTGGTTTACTGTTCACAAAAAATTTTTAATAATGAACAAATAATGAACAGTAAAAAATTCATACTATGCACGAGTTCATAATAGTATACTCATGAGAACTCTGAGAACATCAATTTCGAACACTATATACATGCATAAAAAACATAAACGGCTGTGTTTATTATTAAAAAACAATGGGCCTAAAGTTTAATAACATAATGCGCCCAATAATTTTTAATAAGTTACAACGATGTAATTTCAGATAGCCAGAGGCTGTGAAAATAACAAGATAAAATATTAAATAAATATTATAAAAACAAATAATAGTCTTAAAGGTTTAAAAACATAATATGCGTTATAATTTTTAACTATTATTGCTTGATCAGATGACTTTGTTAAAGATAGTTGAAAAAATTTTGGAATTCCGTTCGCAATCAATACAGACTCTATCGTTACAACTATATTACTACCTAATATAATACTACTGGTATAAGCCAGCTATAACCCACTCGATGTGCACCCAACTGTTTACCGTAACTTCCCTATAAAGCCTAAACATATAGAGGGCCATTGAGAAACCATCAAGAAGATTTCCATATAGCTAAGAAGAGAATCGGATTCACGCTGCGCGCAGATCCTACTTATTTCAACAAAGGAATCCTTGTACTGACATTCCAGCCGCAGAGCCCACAACCCATTTAGCAATGGTTCATGTACTACGGTGACCATGGAGCCCCAAAATGCGGTCCTTGCACTGCTACTGCAGCCGCGTAGCCTAAGTGCTAAGGTCCTCGCACTGCTATTGCAGCCTCGGAGCCTAATTGATATAAAACAAGGATTTGCACTACTCCCGTAGCCGTGGAGCCTAATTACTAAGGTCCTTGCACTGTCACTGCAGCTTCGGAACCTAATCACAACAAGAAAAACAAGTACTTGCACTGCTGCTGCAGCCGTGGGCTTAATAATTACAAATACAAAACAAAACAAGCCCTTGCATTGCTGCTGCAGTCAGGGCCTAAAATTACTCACCACTATACCTTGTATCACAAGCCAACTGCCGGGCATTTAACTATCGTGAATCACTGCAAAGCGGGCGGGATGGGAAGGATGATAGAGCCGGCCTTTTTGCAAGGCGAGCGTAGCAAAAGAAAGATTAGCCCCTTTTTACTAAAATCAACACACTCCATTAAATCTTTACTATTCCGTCCCACTGCTCTGATTTACGATTGAACTCCTATGAAAATCCCCTATACTTTTATTACTAATTGAAACATTTACATCCATTCACCACTAAGCAATCATATAGATCAAAATTGATGTTCTCAGAG